GGGGGCCGGTGCCCACCCAACGCGCGCGGGACACAACAGTTGCACGGGGGGTGAACGGGTGAATACAAAAAAAGAAAGGCACTGCCGCTTTATTACTAAAGATTTGACTTCACAGCCTCACTCATGCAACTGTGGTGGTTTGGTTTTTTTTTTCCTTTTTTTTTTTTCTTTTTATAAATAATTTTTCTTTTCTTTTAGGATTCAAGCTACTTTTTATTCTTTTTGTTTTAAACTTCTTTCACTGGAGCTCTGCCGCCTGCACTCAGCACAGGCAGCCCAGAGCCCGGCAGGAATTCCCGAACGCAACCAAAGCCACTTTTTAAAAATGCTTTTTTTTACTTAAAAAAAAAACAACAAACAAACAACAAAACAAACCCAAGAAACAGCAAACACAACTAAGTCGTCATTAACCTATACACTGTCAATGGAAAATAAGCTTTTTTTCTTTTTTAACAAAAGGAAAAAAAAAATGGAGTTATTTGGTGGTTGTTAATAACAGACACTATCATGGTTACCAGCCATAGCAAGTTAATAGGTAATATATCCAAAATAATATCTTTTAACAATCAGATAACCTCTGTTTCTATAGTCAGTGAAGGAATAAATAGAATTTCAGCTCTGTAAATACATCTGAGCCTTCCCGGGGGAAGGCCCCTGCAACGGCGGTCGTGTCCACACCTCGGTTTGGTACAACCTGGGGGTGCTCGGAGGGGGTGACCCAGGACCCCGCTTCCCCCCCCTCCAGCCCCTGCTTCGCCTCCACCTCCTCACACCACCTCCCAACCTCCTTCGCTTTCGGGTTTTCCCTTCTCCCCCGTATCCCCCCCAATCTCATGCCTGCCAGGACGCAGGACACCAAGGAACAGCAAACACAGAAAACATCGCATTTGGCACTTCTTTTTTTTTAAAAAAAAAAAAGACTTAAAAATGCTGCATGGCAAATGGCTTCACATATCTCCCCCATCCCCTGCTCCAGCCGGTCCCGGCACACGCTGCTGCCCATCGGCGCTCACGGCCGAGCTGATTTTTTTGGAAATATTCCTGCATCCCCCATGGCTGCTGCCCCCACCCATCACCTCCCTTCATTAATTCATTTTAAACTGATTATTATCCCAGCAAAGGACGAGTGGGAGCGAAGCCAAGCATCGCTGTGGGTGCCAATGGCTTTCTGGGCCTGGATCTCGCTTTGGCCTTGTTGGGTTTACCCATTTAATGCCCTCAGGCCAAACTGAGCTCCCTGTTAGAAGAAGGGCAGCCAAGGCACTGCCACCCACGTTTCCTCGCCAGCACAAGTTGAATGCCAAGAAAATGCGGCTGTGGAGCTGTATTTTGGCGCCGTTTGGGTTTTTATTTGGCTAAATAAACCCAGACGCTCGGTCCCAAGCCGCCTTCGTGCCCCCATCGGCCTCCCCGGGGCAGGCAAAGCCCCTCGGCGCTGGGTTTTGGAAAGTTTTGGCGGGGGGGCAGATGTGTAAAACCAGGTCGCAGCATCTTCCTGGTACCTGTGCAGGCAAGGCAAGAGACACGGAAACTCACCCAGCATCCCCCCCCGCTTCACTGACATCCCCTGGGCGACACTCACCCCCTCGAAAACATCCCTGCACCCCAACACACGCTGGGGCGCAGGGACAGGGGGTTGAACCTGCACTCATCCGCCACCCTTGTGCTGCCTCAAAACTGCGGATGCTCTTGGCTAAACCGAAAGGCAATTTTGAGGTTATTTAAGTTTTTCAAAAAAAATCTGGCCTCACCGGGTCAGTCCGTGCCTGAACGCAGCGAAACTCAAAGGACAGGACCACCAGCCCATGGTGGGACAGGAAAATCCTCCTCAAAAAGGGGTTTTGGTCACACACACCCACGTGATATTCAACATTCATCTGTAACCTCGTCCAAAAAACCAGGGTTTGCCCGCGGTGCTGGGGTGACCCCTCCGTTGTCAGCACTTTCCTGCCGCGTCCCCCCCCGCTCTCCCACTCGCTGCCATTGAGTTTTTTGCCATTCCCCCCCCCACTAGCATGGATGTAATAAATGACAACACAAATTCCAAGTCTAATGATATGTTCACAAGGACAATCTACACATTCACAAAAATTAAAACGGGAGAGAGAGAAAGAGAGAGAAAAAAGAGAGAGGAGAAGGAGAAGGGGTGCGAGCTCTCGCTGAGGCTCCCTGCAGGCCCCGACCTCGCCGCTGGACCCGCAGCAGTTGTTGTCCCGGCCAGCGTCCCCGTCGCGACGCCTTCTTAAATGGTGGAGGTTCGGTCGACACCATCTGCAAGCGGGAAGGGAGAGTCAGGAGTAGGGCCCATGTGCCGGTATCCCCGCTCCGAGCCAGGGTGGGGGATAATGGACCCCCAGAGCATCCCCAACCCACGGCCCCTGTGGCGAGGTGGTGCCACGGGGCCACCCCTGCCATCTCCCCATGGGTTTTGGGGTGACAACACACCAGCGTGGCCCCACCTGTGGCAGCCTCTCAACAAGTTGCTGTCCCAGCGCTGGTCCAGGCCTTCTACCGTGTCCCCAAATCCCCTTTCTCAGGAGCAGAGCAGGGGTCTGGGCAGCCTGGATCTGCTGTAAAGTGCGGGCCAGTTTGGGACACTCCCCCCGCCCTGCAATGGGGTTGGTCCACAACCCACTGCCCAGAAGCGGAGGACAGGGGACAGAGACCTTGCCCCCCAGCTAACCCAGCCCTCCAACGCCCATGCCACAGAGATGCAGAATTTTCCTCCATCTGAGGACCACAGCAGGTAAAAAAAAACCCAAAAAACCTTGGGGGTAATTTCTGCCCTCCCAGAGGCCCCTGTCCCCAGCATCCCGTGACAGCAGGGGCACGTCCAGCCACAGCCCCGAGCCCAGGGGTCCGTGGCCCATCTATAATCCACACACTAGACCCCGCTG